CCACCTCCGTCACCCATCCACCATAGCCAAGCACCTTCACACCTTTGCCCACCTCCACCTCCTTCACCCATCCACCACAACCAAGCACCTTCACAACATCGTCCACCTCCACCTCTTTCACGCATCCACCATAGCCAAGCACCTTAACACCTTCTTCCACCTCCACCTCCTTCACCCATCCACCATAGGCAAGCACCTTTACACCTTCTTCTGCCTCCACCTCGTTCACCCATCCATCATAGCCAAACACCTTCACACCTTCTTCCACCTCCAACTTCTTCACCCATCCACCGTAGACAAGTACCTTCACACCTTCTTACTCCCCCTCCATCACCAACTAATGCTGCGGTCCAAGGCATACATTGCCATACAACAAGTTGTTGAAAGAGTCATAGGTAAGACGGTAGGACGAGTAGGGGGTAAGGAGGATTAGGCTTAGGGACTCTCTCTCTCTCTCTCTCTCTCTCTCTCTCTCTCTCTCTCTCTCTCTCTCTCTCTCTCTCTCTCTCTCTCTCTCTCGTTCTCTCTCTCTCTTTCTCTCTTCCTCTCTCGTTCTCTCTCTCTCTTTCTCTTTCTCCTCCTCCTTCTTAGCCTCCAAATACCATCTCTTCTTTCTCTTCCAAATCCCAAGGTCAACCCTCACCCTCTCTCCCCCTTTTCCTTGGCATGCAACTAACCCTTCCCTCACTCACTAGTTACATTGTCACGGTATGAATGGAAAAAAAACTTTGAATCTCACTTAGTGGAAGAAGAGGGCAAGGGGAGGGTTGTCGGCCCCTTGTGCCACCAAGAAGATAAGAAAGAAGAGAGTTTGACGGGCTTGATGGTTGACAAAGTCCGAGAAGGGCTGGAGAAAAGTTGCTAAGCAAAAGAAAGGTCAGTTGACTCAACAAGAACCCCGATTGCATGACTAAGAGAGGAGAGTGGCATGAACAAAGAAACAGAATGAAAAGGGAGGAACCTAAGGGCAAAGAGGATTAGGCATATGGGAGGGATTATGTGTTGACCCCAAGTGGGGTTTTTATCTGTTTGCATTGTGTTGAGCGTGCAGGTGAGTAGCCTTGAGATGTCTTGAGCTAGACTGAGCCCGGGTGTACCAGGCGGCAAGGGGAAAAAGGAAGGGCAAAGCCCAAGCGTCCGTGGATGTAAACTCTGTCTATGAATGGGACCTTTGTGCATGCAACCTTGAGTATGGATGAAAAGGAAAAGGGGGTGTTGTGTATGGTTGAAGTATTGCCTAGTGTCTGTCGGGTGGTCGAAACGGCCGCCAAGTCCTACGAGTGTGCGGGTGGGAACCCCGAAAAGATTAAGGAGTACTTAGGGAAGCAACGAATATGATGCATGATGTGTGGGAGTAGTGAGAAAATAAGGATAGTTCTTAGACCAGCTAAGAGGAGAAGGGCGACGCCTACCTAGATGAAGCTATAGGACCATGGCATTAGGGAATGAATGTGTTGCCTAAGGATGACGATTAACCTGCGCATAATGGAAAATAAGTCTCAAAGAACTCCCTGGACTGCTTGTGTATTGGAAGGAGCAATTGCATGAGAACACAACAAAGTATCAAGAAAAGGACGCATGCGAGTGAATAGCAAAACTGCCCCACTAGCGAGAAAGTTGAGCTACATCCCCGATGTCAAAGCTCTCTCGCTCCATGGCCCATCCCCATCCATCTCAAAGCATTAGGTGGGGGTGATCCTGTCATGAATGGCTCCGTGCCCTGAGCATGAGTGTGGGCGGAGCCGAGCCAACTGGTACCCGCAGAGGGGTTGAGTAAGGCTCGAAAGTCTAACAGGGTGAGGCCCTACACCGGGCCTTATGTAATATTTGACGAGGCTGATCGGCCTCAAGTCTCCCTCGCTCGGTGACTCAGATTGATTCACAGCTGAGGGCCTGGATTGCGTACAATTGCAGACTTCTACTTGGTCCTGATGCTGTATTGGTACCTGCATGCAAACAAGTGTGTGTGTCTGACCGGCGGCCTGGGCTGGGTGCATGCATACTTTGTCTTTTGGGTCGCTGGACAGTTGATCGTGGTCAACTGTCGGGTGCACAGGCCCTGAGCCTATTTGGGATTTTCCTCCCCCTTGGCCTTGTGGCCTGAGGTCGGGGTCGCGGCCTGTGTGTGTGGCCCTGAGGCCACCTCAAGGCATATTGAGCGGGGTATTGCATAAATGTATACAATTAGATTTACGATCATGATTCTGTTGATAATCCATGTAAGGGAGTCAGCCAGCCATCACATGAACAAAGATAGGCAAAAGGGTGATAGTTGCATGCAGTGTGACTTTGAGATTTGAGGGAGAAAGATGTATTATTCTCCATGAGATATAAAGCCTACTACATCTTTGAGATTTCACAGACCGACCGACTGACCGACTGACCGACCCAACAACCGACCGATCGACCGACAGACAGACAAAGAAAAACCTTATTTTCACTTTCTCGTTCTCATGTTCGCTATCGGGGATATGTTGTTGATTCAACATTTTGAATAAATGTGTCAGTGACTAGCTGATGGACTATTATGATGCTTCTCCGTACATTAACAGCAATAGCCTCAGTAAGAGCAAAATACACTCAAACCAAATTAAAGATGTGTAAGGCTCTACTATCACAGAGAATACATCTCTGTATGTCTGTCGCACATCATGCAACCATCACCCATGTGCCTTTCTCTGCTTAAGGTATAACCCTCTGTTAGATCAAGAGCCGCAGCAACAACGTAGCAGACTTCATTCCAATCGTTCTATACAAGCTGCCAGAGTCAAGAGAAAGAGGAGGAGGAGGAGGAAGGGGAGGAGGAGGAAGGGGAGGAGGAGGAAGGGGAGGAGGAGGGGTCAGGAAAATGATCCAGAACAATCTGGCTAACGAGGGCCCCATTTTCACCCTGGTTAATGCATTCGAAAATGAAATTAGGGTTTGGGCCCTTTGGGGGCCATTTTTTCTGTTTTTTTTTTCTTTTCTTTTTTGCCTGTTTTTGTTTAAGATTAAGGTTGCTGTGTGCCAAATTTGGTGTCTTTTGAACTATTGTGAATACCTTTGTAGACTTTCTGAAATTTCAAATTCTGAAATATCTGACATTTCTGTCAAGGTGAATTTTGGGAAATTTTGTATGGAAGGACACTTTCGCCTCACAATTCTTATGTTTTTTTTTTTTTTTTTTTCAGTTAATAAATATTGTCTCCACTCTATGGATTGGTGGCGGCCTTTGGGTTTTCTTAGAAATGACAGGACAAATGGCCGAAAATTCACGCCTCCGTTAACCAGCTCTCATTCCACAACCACATTTGTCATACAATATAGCAAGTCCCATACCCTGACGACTGCCCATGGCAATAAAAATGATTTCGAGTGTCAGTCAAGTTGATAGCAGTGTTTGTTCAACGTAATAATGACATGTCATGAGGAAGTGTAGTGCAGATCACATATTCCACAACCACATTTGTCATACAATATAGTGAGTCCCATACCCTGACGACTGCCCATGGCGATAAAAAGGATTTCAAGTGTCAGTCAAGTCCAGTGTCCCGGTCCCAGTCCCATGTACTGTAGCTGAACCGGCAGGCCCTGCTTACGAGGCACCGATTCAGTCCCCTAAGACCACTAGGAGTCCGGTAGGTCCAGTACCGGACAGGAAAAGTCCAAGTTCCAGTCTAAATTTAGCAGCAGCATCCAGGGAAGGTCCACAAACTTTCGGAACTGACACAATCGCTGCTCACAGGCCATTGGGGACCGTTACCAGTCCAGAACCGACAAAGATTGTCAACTGCAGCTGCTACTTAAAGCAGCTAAAGTACCTGGACGACTTCTTTGGCATGTTGCGGAAGCACTGCTGCACGCTTGTGCAATGGTTCAATGAGAGTGGTCGGGCGAACTGGCCCGAGGTGCCATAGCTAGGATCTATTGAAGGAGGAGGAAGACATAGTAGCCGCAGAGTGTAAGCGCCAAGTGCATTGTGTGTGTGTGTGTGTGTGTGTGTGTGTGTGTGTGTGTGTGTGTGAGAGAGAGAGAGAGAGAGAGAGAGAGAGAGAGAGAGTCCCTAATCCTAATCCTACTTACCCCCTACTCGTCCTACCGTCCTACCTACGACGACTCCAACGACTTGCTGTACGTCTTGGACCATGGCATTGGTTGGTGATGGAAGGGGAGTAAGAAGGTGTGAAGGTTCATGTTAGCGGCCGTAGCCACAGGTTACATGTTGCTTTGGTTTGCGAGTGTGGTGTGAACTTTGAGAGCTTGCATGACTGCGAAGTTGGAGTTAAATTGAGCCGGATCATTGCAGTAGTAATTGCGAGCACAAAATTATGAACAGTTACATCTGTGTACCATTCAGCCACACGGACTAGATGCTGAGCCTGACTTTCCTGGTCCTGACTTATTATAGTCTGACTTCATTTCTTTCTTGACTATTTTTTTCTTTTCCCGGTTAGTGTTCTTTGAGTGGCATAGCAAGAAGTTCAACGTCACTCAGCCTTGAGGCCACAAAGATTCTCCGTCCGGTGGAAGGGAGACATGTTCCATCTGCCATCTTCCCCTCCAACACAACACACCCTGATTATGAATGTATACAAGCTATCTTTCTGGCCCGATACAGTGATGATGACGGTGGATTGTGCTCGGAAGACCGTAGTTGGTACTCACTTCCTGGGTCAACATTTTCGGGCTTTGGAAATTTGGGACATTTATCTTGGGCCTACTGTCTTCATCCGTATCGCACACCCTGTCATTTTAACTGATCGAGACTGGAAGTCACAAGAAATACAGGTATAATGACTGGGTGTTCTATTCGGGTAAAGACGGGCTGAACTATGGAAATGTGGTTGAGTGGCAGAGAAGTCTACCTAAATAAAAGAAAAGGCGAGAGAGGGCCAGAGGGCGAGAGGGAGAGAGGGAGAGAGGGAGAGAGGGAGAGAGGGAGAGAGGGAAAATGAGAGAGACCAATTGAACTCACAACTCTTCTTCCTCCATTGGCGACGGCCTTCTCTGAAGTTGGCAAAGGTTCTGTTTTTGTGTTTCTGTGACTTTCTGACAATATATCTAGATTTTAGATACCATGCATGCATGCAAACATCTGTGAAGAATCCTCCCTTTCTGACAATAAATGTAGATTTTAGATACCCTCTCTTCGACGACCCTCATCAAGTGCTGCTCACAATCCTCCCTTGCTCCCTGAAGCGTTGCCCACGGCGTTTGTCTTTTGCGATTCCAAATCAGGCGTGTGGCAGGGAAGAGCTGCAGATCTGTCGAGCCTTCAGCAGTGTCAGGTGCCCT